GAGAGAGTGTCTGAGCGTGTGCGTGTGTGTGAGAGAGAGAGAGAGTCTGAGCGTGTGCGTGTGTGAGGCAGAGAGTGTCTGAGCGTGTGCGTATGTGTGAGGCAGAGAGTGTCTGAGCGTGTGCGTGTGTGTGAGAGAGAGAGAGAGTCTGAGCGTGTGCGTGTGTGTGAGAGAGAGAGTGTCTGAGCGTGTGTGTGTGAGAGAGAGAGTGTATGAGCGTGTGTGTGTATGTGTGTGTGAGTGTATGAGCGTGAATGTGTGCATGAGTGTGTGCGCGCGCCCGTGTATGTGAAAGAGAGAAAGAATGTGTGTATATGAATGTGTGTGAGAGTGTGTGTGTGTGAGAGTGAGTGTGTGAGAATCTCTGTGAGTGTGAGTGTGAGTGTGAGTGTGTGTGTGTGAATGAGTGTGTGAGAGTATCTGTGTGCGTGAGAGTGAGTGTGTGTGTGAGTGAGTGTGTGAGAGTATCTGTGTGAGATTGTGTGTGTGTATGTGTGTGTGAGTGTGAGTGTGTGAGAGAGTGTGTTAAGCTTCACAAGAAGGTCGTTGTCTCTCCTTTGGGCCAGCTGCCTGGAGAGGTTCATGGGCAGCCATTTTAAATCCCTCCAACCTCACAAGTGCAGCCATGACCTCACACTGAGGTGCATGGTCACACAGGAGGATGTGAGGTGGGGGTAGGCTTTGGTGAGGGATGAGGGTTTGAGGCGGGGAATGGAGCAGCGGGGGATGGGCCAGATAACTTTGGCCAAGAAATATTAGGCGTCGGGGTATGGGCAAGTGCATAGTGATGGTCAACAAGTGACCAGAGGTGGGGGGGGAGGGTGGAGGGGGGCCGAGATAGAAAAAGGGGGTGGGTGAAATCCGTCAGGGCCCCCCTCTCGCGGTGTAGCCACCTCAGAGGGGCAACCGTGCGGGGGGGGGGAGTTCAGGAAGCAGACACCGACGAACTCCCCACCCAGGAATTCAGGAGAGATTTCTGAAGCGGGAGCCCCTCCCAAGGCTGAGGCCTACAAGCGAGGAGATCGCCCCCTCAGAAGGGCAGGACCTAAAGAGGCATTGGGTGGGGGCAAAGCAAGAGATCTCAAGATCAACCCCCTGCCAGGAGGACAATTTGGGGAGGGAGGGGGTGGGGGGGAAGGGAGGTCTGGCCTGGTGTCTGATAATTCCAATCGATCTGAAGGGGGGGAAGAGGGGGGGTAAATGAGGGGTTAGTTTGGGGGGGGGGGGGGTCGGTGAATGGGAGAAAGGAGGCTGTTTGGTGCAGAGAGAGAGAGAGAAAGAGAATACGGGAAAGGAGGTACACTGAAGCAGCAAAACAGGACTGCAAGGTCGAGAGCAGGGGACAGACGCTGAGGAGTGGGCACGCAAATTTCGATGAGGCTAGCGAAGCGGGCTGAAAGCCAAATAAGAACAAAGACAGGCCGATTCCGAAGCCCGAGAGAGCTCCGCGCGAGAGGATTCTGAAGGAGGAGCTCCCCTTCACGCAACTGCGCGGCAGGGCCGAAGCCTGAGGCCTACGCCGTCGGCCTATCAATGCGGTGGAGCTGTAGATTAGACGGAGAATTCTGAAGCGGAGGTGAAAGGGAGGGGAAGGCGCTGAAGGTGGAAGTCGGCGGCGAAGAGGGGGTTGGGGTTGGGGGAGGGGGGGAAGACTACGATAGCCAGAAAGGGACGGCGGAGGGAGCAATGGCCGGCTGCAGCGTGGAGAACTCGCTCAAGGCGCTGCGGGATGCGGCCTTCGACAGGGACGAGGGGGTGCGTCGGCAGATTGTGCAGTCGCTCCGGGAGCTGGGGGCCCACCACACGGAGCTGCTGCTCACCTCCTGCCTCCACTACCTGAGCAAGCACAGCCAGCTGGAGGAGGAGCACCGGGCCGTCATCCTGCAGGCCATGAGGCTGGTGGCGGAGGACGCTGGCGACCGGGTCAGCGAGCTGACGGCCAAGAAGCTGGTGGCGGCGGCAGCTCAGGAGCTGGTGCGGCCAGACGAGGCCCTGAGCGAGGCCTCCAAGGTGGCCTACAGCGACCTGCTGGTGGCCCTGGGAGGCAGCTACACTGAGGAGGTCCTGGACGAGACGCTGAGGAGCTTCAAGGCCAACAGGCTGCCGGATGCTTCCGTTGTACGGACTGTGGCGCGCCTGGCCCTAGCCAATGGGAGCGGCATGGCACCGTACCTGGCCGCCACGTTCGAGGCCCTCATCCCCATGCTGAACCACGCCAAGACAGACAGGATGAGGCTCACCTTGGCTTCGGCTTTGGGCCTGCTCAGCCGCAGCGTCCTCCAGCACCAGGAGATGCCGACGGAGCCGTCGCTGAAGAAGGGCTCCTTCCAGCGCGAGATCCACGCGGCCTACGACACGCTGTTCAACGTCTGGCTACCGCTCAAGGACCCCAGGCTGCGGTTGGAGGTTCTGGCCACGCTGGGCGACATGGTGCAGGTCATGGGCAGCCAGAAGCTGCAGGAGGAGTTGCCCAAGCTGCTGCCTGCTGTCCTCTCGCTCTACAAGAAACAGCAGGAGCCCTTCCACGTCAGCCACTTCCTGCACCGGGTCCTGGAGGTGGCACGCCGGGCTGACCCGAGGGCCCTGGAGCCCCAGGTGGATGGCCTGCTGAACCCGCTCCACCACCAGGTCTGCCAGCCAGCCGACCCAGAGAGCGAGCTGGCGCCCAGTAACCGAGAGGAGCTGCTCACCTGCTTCTCCCTGGCGACCCGGGCCTCCCCGGACTCGGTGCTCAGGTTCCTGGTCCACAAGCTGGCCAACAGCGAGCGGAACCGCCTGGGCACCCTCGCCGTCCTCAGACACCTGGTGGTGACGGAGCACCAGTCCCTGGAGGGCAGGAGGGCTGCCATCTTGGCCGGCATGAAGGCTCCCCTTCAGGACCCCGCCAACCGCGTCAAGAGGGCACTGCTGGAGCTCATCGAGGCCCTAGCCGACCACGGGTACCTGGAGCTGGAGGGAGGGGGCGCCGCGGTGGAGTTTGTGGTCTGGCAGTGCGCCTTGGCCGAACCGCGGCTCCCGGCCAAGGCCGGAGAGGTAACGGACGACGAGCTGAAGGAGGTGGCGGAGGGTCTGTTGACCAGGATGGCCGGGTCCGACAGGCTGATCCCCATGCTGTGGCCTTTGCTGCTGGAGTATGTGACGCCAGTGCACTATACCCATGCCTTGGCGGCCGTCTGCCGCGCCCTGGTGCTCCTGGTGTCTGGGAAGCGGCACACGGGCCTCGAGCTCTTTGAGCTCAACTACGACAAGCGGCCTAGCCTGCCGTCCCCTCAGGCCTTGGTGGCCCGCCTCCTGGTGGCCACCTCCCTGCCCTATGAGGGGCAGCACCGGGGGTCAGCCGCTCTCCGGCTCCTGCTGGCCCTGGGCCCCACCATCCACCCGGCGCTGGAGAGCCTCTGGGCAGCTGAGATGCCCACCTTACTGAGGTATGTGGCTGAACACAGCGAGGAAACGGTGGCCCAGCAGCAGTGGGAGAAGAATCTGCTGCTCCTCCTCTTCCAAACGGTGGAGGCGGTCGGAGATACCCGCTGGACCTGCCGCCTGGGCGAGGAGATGACCAACCAGATCAACGCCTGGCAGAGCGCCCCCGTGGCATACGCCCGCGTCTCTCAGGAGAAGCAGTTCCTCTACAAGTGCCTCGGCATCGTCCTGCAGCACACCCAGAGCATTGAGACCATCCACCAGCAGCTCCAGGAAATGCTGCTGAGCGTCCAACATGGCGAGGCCTTGGAGCGCGAGGGGGTGGCCATTGGCATTGGCTTCTGCGCCATGACCCACTTCGACAAGACCCTGGCGAGGCTGGAGGAGTTTGTCAGGCTGGACGTCCTGAAAAAGACGGTCAGCTTCTTCAACAGCCTAATGGAGAAGGTGGACGGTGACATTGAGAAGATGAAGAGCACGCTGATCCTGTGCTACGGTTATGTGGCGCTCTACGCGCCCGAGGACCTCCTGATGCCCCGGCTGGAAAGTGGCATCCTGCAGCACGTCGTCAGCCTCTCCAACACCAAGGTGCTGGGCATCAAGGTGGAGACCAAAGACCCGATGATCAAGCTGAGCCTGATCAAGGCCGTGACCCTGATTGCCAAGGCCGTGTACGCCAACCGATGGCGCCAATCCTACCCCTTCGCCCGGAGGGGCGAACTCCTGGCCACCATGCAGGGTCTCATCAAGGCCGAGCCCAGGGCCCAGCTCAAGACCCCAGTCCGCCACATGGCCATGACCGCCTGCACGTGCCTCATCAAACTGGAGCCCTTGGTCAACCGGGCCTACGTGACCGAGCTGATCAAGACCTGCCTGGATAGCGTGCTGGGCCTACAGCCCCTGGAGAAGGCCAGGGAAGAGGGGGAGGAGGACAAGGAGCGCGAGAGCCTGTACCGTGAGACGATGGCGGCCCTCCAGGGCCTGCTTAACGAGATCCTGATGCATGTGCTCTCCCCCGATGGGTTGCAGGCCGTCTTCAAGCACGTGGAGGGCTGGGTCATCTCCACCCGGGACCAGGAGCGGGAGCGGGCGCTGGACATCACCGCCAAGCTGACCGTCCTCTACCTAGAGAAGATGGTGCTGCGTTCGGAGGTGGAGTTCAGCCACCTGGGCACCATGGTGGGGCGGCTGGTGCCCAGGTGCACCGACCCAGTGCTGAGGGTGCGGCAGCTAGCCATGGGCAGCATCTACACCCTGTTTTACATCCACCTGCGTTACGCCGGGCTGCGGGAGGGTGACGTCGACGAGCTGGTGGAGCACCTCAAGGCCATCGGTACCCGCCTGGACCAGTCGGAGAGCCAGTTGCTGCTGAGGGTCTGCTCAGACCTGGCCAAAGTCATCGCGCGGCGCCTCCCCCAGGAGCAGGTCAGCACCTTGCTCTTTGTGCTGTTCGAGGGCCTGGATGACCACCATGTCAGCTGCTCCAGCGCTGCCTCCATCGTCATGAACACCGTCATCCGATCCTGCGGCTCCGTGCTGGAGGGCCACATCTCCGAGATCCTCAAGGCTCTCTACATCCGGCTGCAGTGGATCACCGGGGAGCAGGTCAAGTTGTCCATGGTGCACTTCATCTGCGTCCTGGCGTCGCAGAACACCGCCGAGGTCATCTCCTGCCTGCTGTGCACGCCGCTGCCCTTCGACAGGTACACCTGTGACATCTGGCGGGCGCTGGCCGGTGAGGCCACTCTGTCCTTCCGCTGCATGGAGCTGCTGCTGGAGGCCTTGGGCAAACACTTGGTGCCCGTCGACCGGGCAGCTGGGTCCCCGGTGCACAAGAGCGGGGCTGTGTGTTCGGCCCTGGAGCCCCTGGCCATCATCTGTGCCCTCAGCGAGATGCTGCTGAACCCGGAGTCGGCTGGGCCCGTCAGGGGCCTCTACGCCCAGCTCTTCAGCACCTTGCTGCTCCACCTCAGCTCCAGCGTCGGGGTGGAGTTCCCCAAGGAGCTCTTCAACGCTGGCAACCCCAGGGACTGGAAGCTCTCACCGCGCCCCAAGCAGAGCACCGTGGATGTCTGCAACTACTCGATGGAGACCCTGAAGGCGGTGATGGCGGTGGCCCGCACGGAGAGCGTGGTCAACGCCATGGAGGAGTCTGGGGGCTGGGCCCTGCTCAGGAGCTCGGAGAGGCACCACGAGGGAGTGGCCCTGCTGGCCTGCGCCGTGGCCCACCACGTCAAGCCGCAGCTGGCCTCCATCACTCACCAGCTCGCCTCCGCCCTGCCCGGCGCTCCCAAGTCGCAGAGGGTGACGCTGGCAGCCTTTCTGGGCGAGCTCCTGGGTGAGCCTGTGGCCTGCGAGCTGCAGCTCACCGATGTGCTGCTGGCCAGCCTGCTGAGCTGCGCCGAGGACGTGGTGCCGATCGTCAGGCTACTCAGTGTCCAGGCCCTGGGCAACGTGGCAGACGGGGACACAGGCAAGGTGGGCCTGTACGCCTCCAGGCTGGTGGGCGCCATGGTCACCGGCATCAGCGGCGGCGAGGACCCCCGTGACCTCATCAAGCTGGAGGCCATGGGTGGCCTGGTCCGCCTGATGGCGCTGCTGGATGAAGGCCAGGTCCACGGCCTACTTGCCGACGTCATCCTGGCCGCCCAGCCTCTCTTCGAGCACCCCGACGACCGCGTGCGCTGCGGGGCCTTCCGGCTCTTCGGCAGCCTATCCCGCTTCGGCAGGGGGGACCTGAGGCAGATCTATGTGGAGCAGGTCCATGCCAGCTTGGTCAGCCTCATCCTGCACCTGAACGATGGCAGCGAGGAGGTGGTGGAAGCCTGCAAGGCCGCGCTCCGCTCGGCTGGGCCTCTGGTGGGTTCCGACAGCCTGAGCTCCCTCTTCCACTGCGAGCTGACCGACGGCGTGGAGCTCGACTACTGGGCCTTCCTCAACTCTCTGGCCAAGCTGGTGGCCGAGGACTTCCCGGCCAAGGTCAGCATCTACCTGGCGGTGGGAGCCACCTTCTTCAAGAGCCTGCTGCCTGAGATCCGCGGCAACGCCGTCATCTTCGTCGCCTGCCTGATCCAGAAGCTGCCCACGAAGTACCACCAGGCCGCGGCCAACAGCAACATCTGCTCGGATGTGGTGGCCATGCTGCAGGACCCGGTGCCCAGTGTGCGAGCGAAGGTGGCCAAAGCCCTCAGCCTCCTCCACTGACACGCCACCCCTTGCCAGCCCGGGAACAAGCCAAGAGGTCGGGGCTGGAAATCCAACGTGATACTTCCAAGAGAAAAGGACTGAGGGTTGTGACGAGAGCTAAGGGAAGCCACGAGGACTGATGGTTGGACAAAGAGGCAAGTTCCACACCGACGCTCTTTCAAGGGACTGAAGGCGAAAACACGCAGGGCGGCTGAGAAAGGCCAAGGTGCGAGCAGGAAGAAAGATTTGTTTCAAGTCAATGCCCAGCACCCAGCACACAGAGGGCCTGTGCTCTGTTGTGGGAGGCAGGAGTTGGACGTGCCCTCTCATCTCGAAACTAATAAAAGAATTCTGATTGCACAGTGGGGTCTGAATCTTCCTCAGTGCGTTCATTCAAGAGTTGAGCGGAATGTACAAAGGGTTCACTCAGAGGGTGGGGTGGGATTGATTTTGGAAACCAAACTCTGGAAGGTGCTGTCGGAGGGTCAGTGCTGAGGGAGCGCCGCGCTGTCGGAGGGTC